AGGAACATCATCATTATCATTGCTTTATAGACCTTCTATAAGCCACAGTGGGTGAAATTAAAAATTAATAAATGAAGCATTTTTATAGCACCTTCTTTTCTTCTAGAGGACATCACCCATTGTGTAATTATTCCCAGAGATTACCTAATGCGCCACTGATAGATTCTTTATACCTTCTGCCCACCATTTCTCCCACTCTCCGATGACCCTTGCAGAAGCTACAGGGGGCTGCAGAGAACTGAGGTCCATTTTATATGCCCTGAATTTTTTTTTAATCACAGATTCTAAGCTGGTCACTTCCTCCTAAGGTTCCTATTATTTCTATTCCAACAGCTAGTTTCTCTTTGTTTGTCAAGCCCAGAATCACAGTTTTTCTCTGGCTGATTTTTTTCATCTTTTGAAGAATGAGGCTTTTATTAAGAGAACTCAAGAATTTATTAACCATTTTTTTTTTAAAGAAGAGACTGCTTTAGGAGATATTGAGGTAAAGTTCTCTGCTGTTATGCTATCATGCCACGACGCTGGGTTTTATGAATTCAACCATTTCTTCTTTTTAGTCTGGTGGCATATAGTATAATCCCACTCTAATGTTGCTTCTGCTTGTCTTTCCATTTAATCTTACCAGAATGTTCTTCACCATGCTTCTCCTCCAGTTTGTGGTTTCCTCTACATGATTATGTCTTGTGTGTATACCTCTTTGCTGCTCACGTGTCTGTTTTGTTCCTTTTGGATAAGGTATCTTCTTCTGTTTCCATATATCATGGATCGTATGCCAGTCTCAATGATAGCTTAGCACAGTGCCTAGCACTATGAAGGTGCTTAAAAATGCTTGTTGATTGATTGATAAAATGGTAGGCCTCATTGGTAAATTTCCTCACATCAAGATCTCGTGTTCACTTTGTTTAGAATGTGTTCTGCATGTTTTTAGGCGTAGGCATCTGAGGCAGTGGAAGTGGTTAGTCCTGCCCCATTTATTGGTTATTTTCTTCTCTTAATAGACCTCGCTCTTCTTCCTATGCTACAATTACTTCTGGGGTATCTGTTTTGGCATTTTTGTGGGCAATATAAGTAGGCAGTTTTCTTCCTTTAATTATGTTTTCAATTTCAAGACTCCTGATTACATTTGAAAGTCTCTAGGCGTGCACACGCATGCACGCACACACACATACACACATATACACATACACACATATATGCACAACACTTGTACTATGCATATATACAAATTATATATTTATAGTAACATTCATATATATAAACAATTACATGTGTGTATATATATAGTTTTTTATATGTTACATATACTTATATGTTTTAAAAACCAAATTTTAAACTCAATATATATACTTCTTCTCTGGCCACAAACTTGTCATTTATGTAGCTTAAGCCCTGCACTGGAAATCAAAGTCCTATTCACAGACACCATCTTCTTAACCAGTTAATCACATACTAAATCTGCCTCTCTCTTCTAAAACCCCCACCTTCCACTGACAGCAGTGATGAAAATTTTGCCTTTGCCTTTGCCTTTGCCTTTGCCTTAAGGTTTTTAGGTTTTTGCCCAGGACCTCATAATGCATAGCAGCACTCTTTGGATTCCTTCTTTTGTCCCCCATGAGTCACTGGAAGTGAGTAATGATTGTCAGGTTTGACAACTCCTGGGATACTTTCTGAAACATCCTGAGTAAATGCTCTTGTCAGGTTGCCATGAGTCATTGTTCAGATGTTCTTGTCAGGTCACCATACCTGCCTTAGCACCCCTCTGTTCACAGGGAATCACCAGACCATTTCTTGTCACTTCATCCTTGGACTTGACCAGTACTAGATCAGGGATGGGGAACCTGTGCTCTTGAGGCCACGTGTGGCCTTCTAGGTCCTTGAGTGCAGCCTTTTGACTGAGTCCAAGTCTTACAGAACAAATTCTCTTATTAAGGAGATTTGTTCTTTGAAGTTTAGATTCAGTCAAAGGGACACATTTGAGGATCTAGAGGGCCACTTGCGGCCTTGAGGCCGCAGGTACCCCACCCCTGAAACAGCCTTTCTTTTCACTTATGAGTCTTCTTAGCTAATTAATAAATCAATCTACAAACATTTATTAAGCCGCTACTATCTTCCCTGTGTTATGCTACAAAGACAAAAATGAAACATCACCTGCCTTATACTCAAAGGAGATTAATGTTCTTAACAGCACTTTGTATAGAAGCAAAGAATTAGAAACAAAAGAGAGGTCCAGTCTTTTGAGGAATGGTAAATAAAGGGTAGTGAATGAATATAATGGAATATTATTGGGCTGGTAAGAAACGAAAAGAAATTCTTCATGTTATGAATAATTCAGAGAAGTATGGGAAAACTTATATGAATGGATGCTGGAGGAAGTAAGAAGACCTACCAAAAACGATATATACACTATCTATAGCGCAAATGCAGAGAACAACAAAAACAACAAGAAACTGAATGTTACGTAATTAAATGACCAAACAGCCCCGATGAAGATATGAGAAAAATGCATCTCCTTCCCATCTTTGCAAAGGTAAAGGACTATTGAGTGAGAAATATTTTATATAGTGTCGGGCAGAATGGCTTTCTTTTTTCCTTTTTTTTTTTCAGTCATTTAAGGGATAGCTCTCTGGGTAGGGGAAGAGATGATCAAGAAATGTACAAAAATGTACAGAAGATATAAATACAAATACAATTAAAAAAGAAACAGTTCTTGTTCTCAAGGAGTTTATATTCTATTTAGGAGAAATGTACACACACAAGAAAATAAAATTATAATCAAAGTAAATAGAAGGAGGTAGGGGAAGAAATAAAAGTCCGATGGAGGAGATGGCATTTGAACTGAATTTTGAAGGAAGAAATAGAGGTGAGGAGAGAGTACAAATGTCATGTATATAATCTGACAGCTAGGCCAGTTTTGCTAGAACATATTGTGTATGAAGGGAACTAATGTGTAGTAAGCTTGGAAGAGTAGGTTGAAGAAAGAATGACAAAAGCTTTAAACACCAAACAAGTTTTTATTGTTTATTATAGAGGCAGGAGAAAGTCACTGGACATTTTTGAGCGTGAGAATGACATGATCAAACTTATGCAGGCAGCTAGCTGGCGCAGTGAATTAGAGCATTGGGCCTGGAGTCAGGAAGATCTGAATTCAAATCCAATTAGTTAGACATTTACTAGCTGTGTAATTCTGCACAAGTTGCTTAACCTCTGTCTGCCTCAGTTTCTTCAAATGTAAAATGGAGATAAGGCTAGAACCTACCTCCCAAAGTTGTTGTGAGGGTCAGATGAGATTTGTAAAGCACTTTGTAAACCTTAAAGCATTGTATAAATGCAAGCTACTATTATTAGGCATTAGAATTATCACCTTTGCAACTGGAAAAGAGAGAGGTTTTGAGGCAAGGAGAATAATTAGAAGATTATTGCAGTAGTTCAAATGAGAGGTGATAAAGGCTTATACCAGGAAGGGGATCAGGTGAGCAGACAGATGTGGGGCAGATTTTAGCGATGTTATGCAATTTAATTTGCCCAGTTGCTGAATTATACCTTTGTGAAAACAGTTTAGGACAGTTTTAGAGAATAGGTAGTTGGAGTCTGAAGTGAGATGGAGGGGAGTTGCAGAGCGACTTCTTGTGTTAGGAGTTTTCATTTTTGGTTTGTTATTTTAATCTGCTTTGTATTTCCTCAGCAGTTATCAGCAGTCAGCTCTCTTAGAGAACTTGGAAGTGACTGTGTGAGGGGTAAGGGTGAGGGTGGGGAGAGATGTTATGTGCTTATTCTGTTAGCACCAGGGTGGAGAAGTTGGAAATCCATATCTCCTTGGACACACCTGAGAAAAACTCAAGATCAAAGGGGTTGGGTGGAGCTGGCAAAAGGAGGAAAAGACTATAGAAAATACCAACTGGTGGTGATGACTGACTCTAAAAAAATGTGGATTTCAGTCCAAGCACTGAAAAATAACTTAAAAGACCCCACCTATAAAAAACCTGCTCTCTGATGGTATAATGATGAAAGTGAAGAACTCAGGCTTGCCCAGTGTGTCAGTTAAGTATCTTTTGTGGGTTGTATTGTGATTTAGGTGCTTTGTTGGAAGCAGATTATTAAGGCCACAGGTACTGAAAGTTCCGTCTTTTTTTTTTTTTTTTGGACAGACCTAGAGTTTGACTGGTATACAGAACTCCCAATAAGAAAATTCCCTCTACCAAGGAAGATCTCAGCAACTCCTTTGTAATTTGTATTGTATTCTTAGCAAGTTGCTCACAGTCATTGTTGTTGTAGGAGGGAGAGGAATAAACATTTATTGAACACCTGCTATGTGCCAGGCAACATGTTAAGTGCTTCATAAATAGTATCTCATTTGATCATATAGGTCTTCAAGACCTGAGACCTGCTTCCTATGCAGTATGCCATGCTGCCTCTTAATGTTTAGGTAGATGGAATTGTCTTCCTCTTTGGGAAGGGGGAAGAGTGTTGGATCAGGAGTCAAAGGATCTGTGTTCAAATTCCACCCTAGCTCCTTGACCTTGGCAAGTTATTTCACCCCTCTGGGTTCCATTTCCTTGTCTGTAAGGAGTTTGTTGGACTAGGTGAGGCCTAGAAATTCTTCTAATTTTAGATCCTAGGAGTTCATAGTTTAACAGTAGGGTACTAAGTATATACTTTCCCAGATGAGTGGCTACAATCCATTGAGTCATGTTTTCAGGACAAATTTGCCACTCATTTTTTCCCTGTGAGGTACAGTTGGAAGAGACCTTAGATATGCATTTTCCTTATTTTACTGATGTGGAAACTGAGACACAAATAGATTAATGACTTGCCCAGAGTCACAGAGCTATTAAATGTCTGGGCAGAATCTGAACCAAGGTCCATCCTGAGATTAAGTCCTATGCCCTATCCACCAGACTATTTATTTGTTAGCTATCTTTCCAATGGCTGTGGCTCCTTCAAGTATTTCTGTGATAGCTCTATTTGCCTGTATGTAATTTGTCTTTGCTTTTTTTTTTCAGTCTTGGCTGTTTACCTGAACAAATCATGGTGGTCCATAGAAGAGATCATGAAAACATCTGATCCTTCTAGAGAAGGTCTAATACAGGTGAGAGAGAACACATTTTTTCTCACTCTTTCCCTTGAAGGGACTTGGTGACAAAATGAATGAAATGGATTGCTTTCTACTCATCTGGTTTCTGCTGTTTCACTCTTCAGACATCTGGCTATTTGCATAGGGCTGTTTTATATTTGTGATTTGCATGTTGGGGTTTTTCAGCTTAATTTCCTTCCTGGTTACTCCTCCCACAGGTCAAAAATAAGCAGATTTCCCAAACTATCATTGTGCAAACTCTTGCTTACTGGCTTTGGGTTTTTGTCAAAGGAAAAATATATTCCACCATACTGGAGGGCATCAAAGTAGAGGCTGCTAGGGCTGGACAGAGGGTCATGTTGGTCACCAAAGGAAGGCAGAGGAGGAAATTACACAATAAAAACGGTGGGCTATCAATGTCGGGACCCTGTGGTTCTTAGGGAACTTGGTACAAGTGACACCATGATAGCACTTGTTGGGGGGAAGAGGGGGAAGGGACGGGAGTCAGATGTTGCTCCTCTTGGTTGCAAAGTAGGATTTCCCCCTTCCTCCCCTATCCAATTCATTTTGGTGTGATTTTGTTGTGCTGCTTTCTGCAGGCAGGGGCAAGGGATAGATGATTTTTTTCAAAGTCCATTCCCAGGATGACACCTGAATAAAATAGCCATTTCATTCAGGTTGGCTCCTGAGATTATTTTTATGGGCCAGTTTTGTTCTGGTACAGTAGTTAAAGGAAAAAAAAAAACCCAACACAAACGGACCCAGATCTTGTTTGAACTGGTTTTGTTAGAGACAAACAAGCAACAAAATTCTTGGACATTTATGCTCATTTTAGTACCAAATTAAATTTGCAGTTTGGGATTAACAAACTATTGGTCCATTTCTTGTCCAAAACCTTGCACTCTTTCACTTGAGATATCCCTTCCTTTACAGGATAGATGTATTTATTCTGAATAGCTGTGTGTGTAAGTTGATTCACATTCCAAGTGCCTTTGGGGAGCTTACAATTGAAAGGAATTCTGTGATGAATCATTTGGTAACATGAATAATCAAGCCCTTGAAAGTCTGTTTTCTAAACTTGATGCTTTTGAATATTGATTTTTTTGAAAGTAGGATACACCTATACTTTGATTCTATAATTACATATATAACCTAGTACATAATTTCCTTTTCAATAACTACATTAAATTAGTCTTATTACCTCATAGTAGGTCTCTATCAACATCTTAGATTTTCAGCCTTGAATTTTTTTTGATTCTTATATAGCATTTTGCACATTAAGAAATTACCCCTTAAATTCAATTATTTGATAAGGTTCCTAATACACAAAAAAACAGGAAACTGCTGTAAACCTAGAGAATTATTGGGAGTCAAGGCCCAAGCAGCTCCAGTTCTATAAAATGGATTGGTCAGCTATTTATACCAAAGTTCCTACAGCAAAGGAATATACAAAGCAAGTAGACTTGGGCCCATACATAAATTGATGCTTTGTCCTAGATATTACTGAGCCTAAATATTAGATCAAAATTGTTCTCCATCATGGCATAAAGGCCTCTGGAGCCAGCATCTTACTGTCTTTAAGAAAAAAAAAGGAGGAAAGTTTTGGTTTCTTTCAAAGGACATTGAATATGCTGTTTACAGTATCTTAGAATAGTTTGCTCTCACCTTCAGTTAGCTAGCCTCCAGTTTAGTGGCATGTGTGATTTTCTTTCTTTTTTTTTTAAGTTATATATGATACAATACATTTCTACAACCCATAAAGGCTAAGGAAGCTATTATCTGGTATTATCCCTCACTCCTCAAAGACATACCATTAAGAAAAGGCCAAGATAATAAATACCTCTTTAGAAACCATAATTTACCTTTGGTCCTTTGGCATGAAAGGAATTGTATAATGATGGAAAATAGACATGACCCCAGTGCGTACTCTTATTCCAAATGGAGAATTTTTCATGTCTGATTTTTGTTTCTAGTCTCACTTGGTCTTTCCTATTTTTTTCTTTGAAGGTCCAGTCTTTTGGAGAAAGGATTGTACTTTTTATTCTTAACTACGTTATTTTTGGAAGATTGGAGAGAAATTTGGATGATGGCATGTTTTTTTTACCTCATTCAGCTACGGAACATGCAAAAATTCTGTGGAGGAATGGAGCTGCCATTGGTTTTTATACCATCAAGATGAAAGGTAAAATAATTAGTCACATGCTTAAGGGAGCACTGCTGGCTGTGATTGGTCCTGGGTAAAAGGCAGATTATTCTGGGTGTTTACCTGGATGATGGTCATATGGAAATGTTACTAAGTTTCCCTTTGTTCAAAAATTGATTTGGAGGAACCTTGAATATTCAACTGAATTATTAAAAAACCTATATTCCCATCAGGATGATTATCATGTAATCATCAAGGGTATATAATCTTGACTCCATTTCTCTTTAGTTCCCTTATCACCTGTGGGTAGGATGAAATGCTTCATCCCTTTGATTCTGTGCATCTGACACTTATCTGTTAACATTTAAGATTGCAGTGAGCATATGAACATTATCTTTCATTATATTTCTTTTCTTTAACATTACCAATTAGCTGTCAGGAGAAAGGCTGTTACTAATACCCGACATATGATGCAAAAAAAGCTAGGGCATGCCAAAATTCATAGACATTACCTCAGAAGAGAGTTAGGCTGTGGCAAGAAAGTTAGGATGTGAGGTTCTGGCTTATTTTTAGGGACTGTGACCAGCAAGAGTGTGGAACATGAGTCTTTTTCCAAATAAATTTGATAGATTAATCTTCATTTGAAAATGCTTGATCTTTCAGTGTAATTGTTTAGATGCTTTGTCCACAAATCTTAGACCCAGCCTTTCCCAAAGTGCACCCTTTCAGATTCTGTAAAGGTTTTAAGTTTCAATAAAAATAAATTTCCTCTGTGTACAATTATGGGTATAGTGTTACCTGAATTAAATCTTTCTCTAGGGTAATCTAAAGTCTGATTTTAGTTTTAAACCATGTTCACACTGTGTGCACATTCTAGTTGCCCAGAATTGTATAAATCTGACTTTCTCACCATTCCCCCCCCCACCCCCCATGCTATCTGTGTTTTTCCACCCAGGAAGTCATTTTAGTTAATTGTTTGCCAGGATCAACTGGAGAAGCTGGAAATTCTTATCTTTGGTTATCTTTGTTTGATCACTCGTGTGTGTGTGTGTGTGTGTGTGTGTGTGTGTGTGTGTGTGTGTCTTGGTTACATTGATTTTACATATCCTTATCACTGGAAGAAGAGAACAAAGGGTTACAGTGTGGAAGAGAACACTAATGTGTTTCTTCTTTCCTGGGACCCTTATCGGCTGTCATCTCCCATCAGCTATGTTGTCATAATTCAACAGCAGGATCAGTTGTGCCATGGGGCTCGCTCTGTTATTTTTAGTAACAGATTATCATAGACAAGCCACTACAGAAGCTGCTGTCTGTAAGAAGAGCCCTGTCCCAATGATGTGGGATTGTAAATGTTTTCATTTTGTCCCACATATGCAAACTCTGTTCATGATGGCATTTATTGGTGTTTCCATGTTCTCCTGAAGATGATTTTCTCTGACAAAATGTAAGTTCCTAGCGAGTAGGGATTGTTTCACTCTTTGTATTTGTGTCTTCAGTGTCTAGCACAATGCCTGGCACATAGTAAGTACTTAATAAAGGCTTGTGATTGCTTGATGACTTTAGCGGTCTCCCCTCAGGATTTGCTGAAGGGGAAAGGGAATAAACATTTATATAGCACTTCCTATGTGCCAGGCACACTGTGCTAAGTGCTTTTTACTGATACGATCTTCTTTGATCCTCACATCAACTCTGCTAGGTAGGTGCTATTATTATTACAGTTGAAGAAACTGAGGCAAACAGAGGTTAAGTGACTTGTCAAGGGTTACATTGCTAATAAGTATTGGGGGCCAGATTTGAACTCAGGTCTTCCTGATTCCACATCCAGCACTCCATTCACTGTACCATCAGCTACCTCTGCCCCTGAAAGGGGCTGTTTTTAGTGTGTAGGATACATATTCTGTGCATTACTGGCAGTGTTTCCAAGTTGAGTAAAATCATAGGATAGAATCACAGAATACTAAATACTTCTTGAAAAGACCTCAAAGATCATCTTGTCTGGCCCCATTATTTCCCAAATCAGGAAACTAGGGAGATGACTAGATAAAACTACATTTCTGCTGCTTCTATGTGGTGAATTCTGTGGATTTTTAGAAACTTTCTCTGGATATTTGACATCTTTCTGGCTGAATAGATTCATTTTATAAAGTGAAAATAATCTATTAGTAACATTCTCAGAACAAATTAAATGGGTTAATAGGAATTAACTTCCTTCAGAATTAGAGAAAGAAAACAAATACTCCCTTCATGCATCGTCTACCCAATTTTTTTCTTTTATTTTGTCTATGTATCCTATTTCTCATTTGAAATATTTTTCAAGAATCAAAACAAAGTTGTTTTTGTTGAGCTACACTATGATGAAAACGTTTTTTCACATTATATTGTTGCAGTAATTTTTTTTCAGAAGCCTTCGGGGAAAATGCTTTACTCTTTGTTTTGTTTAGCTATAAAGATTGGCTCTATTCTTAAGATCACATGGTTCAAGGAATAATTTCTTTAAAGAACTCCGAAGATTTAATAGTATTTAAAAAAAAGCATTTATGCTTTTTAGCATTAGTGCTTTTAGCATTGTATGTAGTGTGGTAATGTGATATATACATCTGTGTGTACATATATAAATGTGTAGTATACACATGTACATATATATGCAGGTATATTATATATATCCATATATGGATTGCTCTCTCTCTCTCTGCCCCCCTTCCTCTCTCTCTCTCTCTCTCTCTCTATGCATGTGTGTCTCTCTCTATCTCTCTCACCCCTTCTCCCTCTCTCTCTCCTTCTCTTTCTCCTTCTTTCTCTCCCCCTCTCTTCCTTCCAGCCCTCCCTCCCTCCCTGTGACTTTTTTTTGGTATTTGAAACTCCAAATGAGGTAATTCATCCACCAATACGGTTTGGTACCTTCTCTGTAATATATAATGTACTTCAAAATGAAGTGTATATAGTAGTTCTTCATAACAAGAGATCCAAGTGAACCATCCTTTCTGAATATGAAAAATGATGGAGAAAAAAATGTGACTTTTCAATCTGATAGAGATCTTTTATTTGCTACTCTGATACTGGTATAAGAAAAATAATGGGAAATACATTCCCTGTGTTTCTTTCTCTTCCTATAAGGTTGAAAGAGAATATATATTTAGAATGAAAAGAGGTAGAAATTAGTAGCGTTAAGATGAATTAAATCAGATATAATTTTCACACACATGCCCCACCCCCCTCAATTCAGAGAAACATTTAGTTTGACTTCAGGAGGAGTTTATAGTTCAAAAATCTGGTATAGTTACTGGTCTTTTCAAAGCCATGGTCCCAGGTCTTGATTTTTGTTATGGTATAAGGTCAACTTGAGAGTTGCCACTTGGTAAAAAGGAGGTGTAGTACCTGACTTCCTACTGAAATATTCAGTGATATAGTTAGACCTCAATGGACTGGGCTTCATTGACTCAGAATATTTATCCTAGGTCAGGTAGAAGTTTACCTTTTCACTGGGCTTGAGTGTAAATTGATAAGATTAATAAAGAGCACAAATTGCATTTCAAGGGATATGTTTAACCTACTTAAACGAACAAGCTCTTTGGCTTTATTTATTTATTTATTTTTAATTTTCAACATTTGCTTTTATAAGATTTTGAATTCTAAATTCTCCCCCTTCCTCCACCCCTTTCCTCCCCAAGATGGTATGTAATCTGATATAGGCTATACATGTATGATTATATTAAACATATTTCCACATTAGTCATGTTGTTAAAGAAGAATCAGAACAAAAGGTAAAAACCATGAAAAAAAAAACAACAAAAGAAAGAGAAAATCGTATGCTTCAATCTGCATTCAGACTCCATAATTCTTTCTCTGGATGTGGATACCATTTTCCACCATGAGTCTTTTGGAATTGTCTTAGATCATTGCATTGCTCTGAAGAGCTAAGTTTCATGAAGTCGATGATCATACAATGTTGCTGTTGCTGTATACAATGTTCTCCTGGTTCTGCTGACTTCACTTAGCATCAGTTCACGCAAGTCTTTCCAGGTTTTTCTGAAATCTGCTTGCTCATCATTTCTTATAGCATAATAGTATTCCATTACATTCATATACCACAACTTGTTCAGCCATCCTCCAATTGATAGGCATCCCCTCAAGTTCCAATTCTTTGCCACCAAAAAAGAGCTGCTATAAATATTTTTGGACATCTGGGTCCTTTTCCTTTTTTTATGATCTCTTTGGGATACAGACCTGGTAGTGGTATTGCTGGATCAAAGGGTATGCCCAGTTTTATAGCCCTTTGGGCATAGTTCCAAATTGTTCTCCAGAATGGTTGTATCAATTCACAACTCCACCAACAATGCATTAGTGTTCCAGTTTTCCAACATCTTCTCCAACATTTATCATTTTCCTGTTTTGTCATGTTAGCCAATCTGATAAGTGTGATGTGGTACCTCAAAGTTGTTTTAATTTGCATTTCTCTTATCAATAGTGATTGAGAGCATTTTTTCATATGACTGTAGATAGCTTTAATTTCTTCATCCGAAAATTGCCTGTTCACATCCTTTGACCATTTATCAACTGGGGAATGACTTTATTCTTGTAGATTTGACTCAGTTCTCTATATATTTTAGAAATGAGGCCTTTATCCTACTGGCTATAAAAATTAGAACAATCTTTGTAAAGATACTTCTTTGTGAAATATTTTTTAAGAAGTAGATACCATTCATAATAATAAGGTATATCAATTCATGAATATTAGCTGGCATAGTTGATAAGAACACTGGACTTGGAGTCAGTGAGACCTGGGTTCTAATCTTGCCTCCAATATTAATATTTTCAGATTATGGACAAGCAATTTAATTTCTCTGAGCTTAAGACAGCTTTATCTCTGTAGTCTATATCTATGGAGAGACAGACAGATAAACAAATGGATGTAGATGGTTGGATGGCGAGGGAGAGGGAGGAGCAGTGTGGTCACAGAGCCAGCCTCTGAGTCATGAAGACCTGGGTTACTTTGGGCAAGTCCGTAACTCTCGGTGCCCCAAAGTAACTAAGACTGTATGTCATAGAAAAGATATCAGCCTTGTTTGGTAGAGGCGGTTACCTCATCCAGGAATACCCTGTATCAAAGAACAGGTCTAATCTCTATTTGTCCATATACACACGTGTGTATGCATAATATAAAAAAAATCACAGGTCTAATCCATATGTGTATACATATATACACATATGTATGTGTAATGTATATGCATAATGAGTATATGTATGTATGCATACACATGTGTATTTATTTTTTTCAAGTGTCTTGAATTACAAAGCATTTGACTGTTGAGACATTTGTGCATTGACTTTTCTCACAGACATGTAAACAGGACTTCTCACTTTCCTACCCCAACTGACCTCCCCCATCCCCTCCTGCCCAAATGGGTGAAGTTGATTTTTAGGGCTCTTCAATTCACATTATAGCGTTTGTTCTTCCTTTTGTCTTCTTTGCTGGCCCCCCCCCCCCCCCCCCGCATCCAGTGCTGTCTACCAGGCTCCAAGGGAGTACCTTGCAACCTTTTCTTAACTATTTTCCTAACAAAAGAGGAACTTGTCTAGTGTTTCTTTCCTTTAGGGTTTTGATTTGTTAGCATGAATTAGATAAATTACAGTTGGCTTTGGCTGAATTTGCAATTCCTCACAAATAGCATCTGCATTTTAATATCTCAACTGTTCATAATTCAAAGGAGCAAGTAAGGTGGGAATTTTAGGTGCCTTGGCAGGAAAAGGAATTTTTGGGAAGGGTCAGAAGATGTTCTACCTCCCGATGCGTGTATGTGATCCTGAACTTAGCTCTTCCTGGACTTAGCTCTTTCTTGCGGCTGACACATCTGTGCCACACAAGGGATTTCTATGGTTATCTTTGGAATGTCTGAGGTCCTTGGAGACTGCAAGGTGGTACAGTGGATAGAGTGCTGGACTGGGAGTCAGGAAGATCTGAGGTCAAATCCAGCCTGAGACACTAGCTGCGTGACCCTTAACAAGTCATTTAATCTTTCTCCTATAAAATGAGGATATTACTAGACCCTATCTCAGGGTTGTCATGAATATCAAATGAGATAACACGTGTAAAGTACTTCGCAAACCTTAAAGTATCATTATGCTAGCCAGTCATTGTTGTTGTTGTTTTTATCACCAAATCTATAGAGTGCCTACATCCTTTATTTCTCATGATCATTCATGGCTATTTTACTGTGCTTTAAGCTCTGTCCCTTAGAGAGGTGACACACATCATGTCGTATCTATCATTAATTAGCAAGAAGTGGATTATTCTTGTGCTGACTTTACTGTTTTCAGCCCAGTGGTTCATGTATTTAACTCAACTCTTTTCTCCTTCTTAGGGAGTGTCAGTGTAATAAAAGGACATCCAGTGAGCCTGCTGAAGCAATAGTTTGTGCTCTCTTTACTCTTTTTTGTTCATCAGTCTGATTATACATTTTTGATGTACTAACACAAACACAAGGTTATAATTGCTGTTTGACGGATCTCTGCTCCCATCTTTTGGAGACGATGTAATAGGGGATCTGAATGAATGAGTGAATGGATAGATAAATGAATTAAATGAATCACTAAGGCCATGAGTTACCATGAGGTTTAGAGTGGAAATGTCATTATATCTGCTACTTTGCTGATCATTGATGACCATCAGTCATGTCACAGTTCAGAAACTGACATCCACCGTTGCTGAGTGTTATCTCCTCCTAACCTTGTTCTTTTCCAGTCCCATTTCTTCAGGATTCCTTTCTGATCACCTTCCCTGACTCAACATATACATTCTTCCATTTTAAAAAATCTGTAGTCTATGATTATCCCATTGAGAGGGAGTAGGGCATATTAAAAAAGACATTATATTAAGGATCAAGAGGCTCTTTATCTTGTTCTTCCACTAGCTTTGTGACTATAGTTAAGTCACCTAATTTCTCTTGTCTTGTTACCTCATCTGTCAAATGAAAGACTTAGATGAAAAGATCCTTAGGTTCTTTTCAGTCAATCAAAAATCAATTAATTGGGGCAGCTAGGTGGTGCAGTGAACAGAGTTCTGGCCTTGGAGTCAAGAGGATCTGAGTTCAAATCCAGCCTCAGACACTTAAAACTTAACTGGCTGTGTGACCCTGGGCAAGTCACTTAACCCCGATTGCCTCACCAAAAAAGCAAAAAAGAAAAACAATCTATTAATCAATAAATATTTAAGTGCCTACTGCTGCCAGGCACGATGCTGAGCTCTTTAACATTCCTTGAACCTATGCTGTGACTCATTTGGAAATCTGCTTGCTATCTCTCCTCCCAATTTTCTCCCCAGAACATATAGCTTTGTAGTTTAAAATCAGATTCTTCATGCTATCCTATAGTATATACTTATGTTCTACTAGAGATTGGTCACCAGTCTTAATTATTCACTATTTAACTACTCTATATCTCAGTTTATCCTTCTGTAAAAGAGACAGATGAGTTAGATAGTGGATAGAGTACTGACCCTGGAGTCAGAAAGACCTGTGTTCATATCTGACCCCAGATACTTACTAACTGTGTGACCTTGAGCAAGTCACTTGACCTCTGTATGCCTTAATCTACTGGGGAAGGAAATGGCAAACCAGTATTCTTCCAAGAAAACCCCATGCACAGTATGGTTTGCAGGGTCACAAAGAGTCAGACACAACTGAACAACAAAAAAAGAGGAAGTGTGGCATAGTGAATAATTTCATTTTTGTTTTTATATTGCCACTAATATATAGAAGGTGCTAAACAATGCTTGATTGAGTGCTGGGCTTGGAGTCAATAAAACCTTAGTTCAAATCCTGCCTGTGTTACTTAGTAGTTGTATGACCTGGGCAAGCCCCAAGCATGATTCAGGCAACTTCCTGGGACCTATCTTTGAAGTCATTAATTATCATCTAACTCATAGAGGCGTTTGAGCATTGGTGGAAGGGGTTCCTACATTGGAAATTCCCTACAGGAATAAAATCATTGACTCCTTTATGTATTCTTTTGTGTAAACCCATACCGTAGTGACAGATGTGTATTTCAGTAATTCAGTAGCAACTTACGGTTCTGCAAAGAAATTGCTGGAGAACTTAGTTCACATGTTGATTGGAAAAGATCTCTTGTTTTCATCTTGAGCAGTTTAGTTTGTGAATCTAATGCAAATTGCTGGTGGATTTCCAGTGAACTGAGTATTTACTCGGAGCCTTGAATGGTTGTGTAGGGACATTGCTAGGTCAGTATTCCGTGTGACCCAGCCCAGCCGAGCCAAACCCTGGTGCCCAGTTGGCACTAGTGAGAGAAAAGCACTTTTTGTTCTCTCCTTCTAGGTAGTCTGTGTGGCAGAAACACCAGTGAGTGCTATATGCTGCCTGTGTTGGACACTGCATTTGTCAGGCGAAAACACCGAAGAGAAGGTCTTGGGATGAAAATGCTGCATGACTTTTGTCAGACTTTTGCGACTGAAGATGCCTTAGGGATCAGCTGCCCCATTTCCACTGCTATGTACCAAGGTAAAGCACAGGATGCAGACACGTTTGGGTAAGGGGTCGTGAATAATTGATGTACACTTCATCTGTCAGGGCAATCCCAGTGGCTCCAGCTACTCAGTGGTTCAGTAAACAGATTCAGAAGCCCATCAGTGATGGTCCCTGTATTCCATCATCAGGTGTTTTTACCAGCTCTTCCATGGTATCAAGTCCACCTACTCTGGGTAAGTGGACACTTAGTTTTTCTTTCATCCTTGATTATCTCTCCTGTGCCTTCCAAATATTATTTGATCAAAAGAGGCAACTCCTTCTTAAACTGAAAAATTATGAAGAATAATTCTCCCTTCCACCTAGAATTCAACAAAATTAAAATGTTACCAAAAAAAAAAAAAAAAGGGAAACCATTGTTGTCCCTGGTACAGCATGTTGGCACTGCTACTTTTTAGGGAATGTCAGAACTTCTTTGATCTCTCATTTGTGCTTACAGTTCATTAACTTGCCCTTTCAACTAGAAACCACCAGAGAATAGCTTCTTCAGCTTAAGGAATTAAGGTGATAAGGAACAACAGAAAAGGGAGAGTACTTAGTATGCTGAGCATTTGAGCATATGGCAACCCCAGTACTCTGTGTGGACCTTTCCCTCTTAGCTTGGTAGCTCTTAACCTTGACAAGGGCAAGTCTCAATGGACAGCTGTGTTTGGGAAAGGGGCTGGAAGGCCCCTATTGTTGGTTTTTTTTCATCTCACCAGTCTGAAAAATTGGGACATGACTTGAAATTGACCCCCCTGTTGTTTCCAGGGTTCCCTTTTAAAATTGTAAATGCAGAAAAAAAAAAAAACAAACTCAGTAAAATTGTAGTAGGGCACTGAATTTGGAGTCGGTAAGACCTGGGTTCATATCTTGCCTTAGATACTTACTAGCATTGTGATCCCTGGCAAATAGATTAACCTGTGTAGGTCTCAGTTTCCTCATATGTAAAATGAGGGGGTTGAATTCCATGATCTCTTCCAGCTCTAAATCTATGATTCTAGGGTCCTATACCTTCAAGACAATGGGACAATGGCAAGGAGGAGGGAAAAACAATGAGACAATAAAGACCTGTCATTAGTTTGAAGTCCTAAGGGAAAGATTCTGGAAGTAGAACAAGCTTTCATATTTTTCTCCCAAGTGCCTTTACTTATTTCTTTGTATTTTCTAACTCTCAGGCTATTATTAAACTCCATGGATTCCTTGAATTGCTTCAAATATAGCTTCAGGCTCTCTCCAGTGCAGAGCTCACTTTATGGCATCAGTTTGTGCCAGAAACCAGGAGGCCATTGCTCACTTTTTTCCCAGGAGGGCTCTCTCTCCTCATTCTCATTCCATTCTGACATCATTATTTGAGTAGGCCTGGCCACTCACTCCTCTCACACTTCCTGAAGTTCATTCTTTCAATAGAGCAAAACAACTACTAAGAACATACTTCATCTTCCTCTGTGGGAATGAAAGGCTGAATAACGGGAAGAGAGCTTGAGGGCTTGGCTAGAGTTCCGTGTTAGAAAGCTCTGTGGGCACTGGAGGGCCCCACCCATTTTTGAGGTTGCTGCTCTACCTTGGTTTGATAGGGTAAAGAGCGTGAATGACAATTTGTTCTGAGTTGTTTGGTGCTAAATTTTTTTTTCTTCCTGATTGGAGACTTGGCTTGTTGTAGCCATTCTGAGGAATGTCTCAGGGGATTTGAAATGTTTTTCTCAAGCATTTAATATGCTGATGTGTGGTGAACAGGAGGAGTGTGGAAGAATAGAGTACAGTGTAGGAGAAGGACTGTGAGAAGTCACAATATTAGTAATTTAATCAACCTATCAATCAGTGCAGTTTGAGCACCACTTTAGCACTGACCTGGGGCCTTTAAGGAAAATGACCAGCCTCTTTTCCCAAGAAACCTAGTCTAGTTAGAGGTTTATAACGATCACATGTGAAAGAGACTTGAATGTGCATCAGGCAACATGCAAATGTTAGGATTGTTCAGTGGAGAACTCTAGAAAAAGTTAGAAAGCAGACTAGTGAGCCAATGTGGGTTTTTGGGCAAGGTAACAACATGATGAAAACAGGATTTGATGGAGATAATTGTGGCAGATGCATGTAGTATGGTTTGGAGGAGAAAAGAGACTCTAGGCTGGTGGTCAGCTAGAAGGCTGCTGCAGTAGTCCATGGACCTAAATTGAGATGATAGGGATGGAGATTGGGCCTGTGACCTCGCTGATAGAGGGAACTCTCAGGGAAGGAAACTTTCTCTGCTAGTACAGGTAGCCACCACCTTCCCTGCAAGTTGCCTGGAGCGCTGCTAGGAGGTTAAGTAACTTTTCCAGGGCCATATAACCAGTATACATCAAAGACTTAACTAACCCCTAACGGCATGCATCTGAAATTAAGGTAACCTGTGGAATGAGGTAACCTGTGGAAACACTGTTGGAATAAAAATGACCCAGTTTTGTTGAAGTGTGGGGCCCTTAGTTTATACTTAATTCACTAATTTTTTTTTCCTCCTTGAATTTCCTTCAGTTTGTCACAAGTTCTTACTGGCCTATCCAGAGGAGCAGGATCGACTGTGGCAAGTAGAGGCTCCAGGAGACTGGTGCCAGAGGGTGAACATTTGGCTAAAGATTCAACTTGAATCAAGCCTTTCCTACAGTAAGTATAAATGAGAAGTATACATTTTGGTTTTATAGCTTTTATACTTATGAAAGTGAAGATAAAAGTTTAATTAATAGCGAGTACTGAGATTCAGATCCTCCCTTTGGCATTTACTCTCTGTGTGACCACGGACAAGTCACTAAACCTTTCCAGGCCTCAGTTTACTCGTATGTAAAATGAGGGCTTGTACCAGATGACCTCTGAGGGCTGTTCCAGCTTCTGACATCCACATGCCTCCTTTTATTATGTTCAGAGTATAAAAAAATTAGGAGTGTATGGATCACTTGCTCCAGTTGATAAGCGACTATTGAGATGGAGTGTAGCCACTTGGTGGATTTCTTTTCTTCTGTCCTGCCAAATTGAGAAAGGGATTTGGCCTAGGCAGGCTACCTTAGGAAGACTCTCCTATTTAAAAATACATCTCTCCCCCCCTCCCCTTTCCAAATTCGTTTGAATCAACTAGCTCTCCTTTTAAAATACAAATACTCCTTTGAAGTGTTAAACCCATACTTTAGTTTAAATTTCTTTTAGAAGGGCAGATCTAATTGCCCAGAGGGGAAGGAGGGGCCTTGGCTTTGGCCAGTCTCTTTACCTTTATCCCTGAACTTCCTTTGATTGGAGGAGGGTCTCACAGTTTCTAAAGGTCCAGAGGAGTGGTCCTCTTCCCATTTTCCCACTGATGTCCTAAATGATGTCCTCAGATCAGTTGGCAGTAGTGTCTTCGTTAGGATCCGAGGACAAAGATGGACACAGATTTACCATGCTTAAGGGGATTATACCATGAATGAGAGGAAAAACAGGATTTACAGCAACTGGTGGCTATGAGTTTCCCCCTTGCAGCATGTGCTCTATAAGTCTGAACCGTGTTCTCACTGTACTGCTTTCGTAAATACCCCTTTCTAAAAACTGCTTAAGACTGATTGACTAAATTGATTTTTTTTTTTTGAGGCAGCTAGGGTTAAGTGACTTGCCCATGGTCACACAGCTAGTAAGTGTCTGAGGCTGGATTTAGAACTCAGGTCCTCCTGACTCCAGATCCAGTGTTCTATCTACTATGCCACCTAGCTACCCCTATAAATTAATTTTCAACTGATATTCTTGAGGGTGAAGCACACCAGTGGGGGCTTGAGCTGTGGTATTGCAGAATCAGCCCTGACTTCTCAGGATTACCTTAGAACCTTGAAGAGGAAGGATTTGGCCAGTCTAGCTCTGGAAATTCTACTTAAAAGAGGGAGATAGAATAAGCATGCCACAGAGCATATATGGGCTCTGTGAGGGAGCTTGGGCAGGTTAAAATTGAGCCCTTCACAATTGCAGGGAACCCCGCCCCCCAAAATATTCTCCATGTAGGAGTTTCATTATTGGATATTCTAGATTCAGTGGAAAAAATTATAAATTTTGTTTTCTCTTTTTTTGTTTCAAACAGTAATCTTACAAAGGTTTTTCCACTATTTCCTGAAAAGTCTAGTTCTTTTTGAGGTGATTTGTGCAGACAGTACATTTGTTGATTCATTGAAATTTAAGGACTCATTTGTGGGGTTACTAAATCTGGCACAAGTATTGATTTTGAGGCTAATGTGAAAAATATGGAGTTTGCATCCTTTAAATATTGGTGCCTGGCACCTGGAGCATACCATGGTAGCTCATAAATGTTCATGTCTTTTTTCTTTCTTTTTTGCTTTTAAGGAGACCTAGAATGCTTGCCTTCTTTGTAAAATTAGTCCAGCCAGTTTGTGTGAGGTCTTTGCTGGCCTAGAAACTTCGGAATCATTGCCCCTAAGTGATTAATCCCTTTTTCTCCATCTCATCCTTGTTTAGAGCTTATTTGAACTTGTTTTCTATTGTGTTTAACTAAGTATACTTGTCCTGCTACTGGGTAAGTTTGGAATTCCAGTAGGAATAGCCTCTGAAGTAGTAAGGATACATTGCAGTAGAAGATTTTGGATAAGATTTTCAAAGAGGATGTAGTACAGGGACTCCCAGAAGGAAGGAAGAAAAAGAGAAAAGGGAGGAAATGAGGAATTATGGGCCTTCTACATGCCAGGCACTATGCTAAGTAGGTTTTTTTGGGGGGGAGAGGGGAGGCAATTGGGGTTAAGTGACTTGCCCAGGGTCACACATCTAATAAGTGTCAAGTGTCTGGTCTCAGACCAGTTTTGCACTCAGGTCCTCATGACTCCAGGGCCAGTGCTCTATCTATTGCACCATTTAGCTGCCCCTAAGTATTTTATAAATATTATCTCATGATCCTCATAACAACTTTGGGAGATAGGTGCTATCATTATCCTCAATTTACAGTTGAGGATACTGAGGCAGTGACTTGCCCTGGGACACACAGCTACTAAGTATTTGATGCTAGATATGAACTCAGGTTTTTCTGCCTCCAGGTCCAGTGCTCAATCCACTACTCTACCTAGCTGCCTCAGAAGAATATTACTGAGGCATTTGTGGAAAGGAACACCTTGAAAATTTTGCCCAGAACCCAGTTGGATGGCCTTATGCACTGAGGGAATCGTGCAATTTTTCACTTAGGACAGTTTGTTTTCTCACCAGACAGTTGGGGGAAGAAAGTGACTTCCAGTTGACCCCTGGTCCTTTTTTAAATCTTTTCAAGGGTAGCTTCACCCTATTTGGAAAGCTCTGTTGGGGGAGAGAAAATAAAAGTGGTGCCCCATTATTGGGAAAAGGCAAAGTACCCCAATCTCCCTTGGACCCAGGTCCAGTTGGTTGTAGCACTTGGTACCAGACAGAGCTCAGAGTTGAGGTGCCCTTCATGGGAGAGGGAGTGGGCAAGGATCCCAACTCCTTGGAACCAGTAGAGGGATGTTGTATATTCTTACCTGAAGAGTAAGGGGATAGGCTTCTAATTCCTGGGAGGACTAGCCTTTCTGTTGAATAAGGACCTCATGTCTACTGTTGTTTCCCTTCTACAAAAGGCTTTCAAAGACTTTTTGCCAGTCTAAGGATTTTTTATTGAGAGGTATCTAGTTAAAATGGGGTGAAGTGGTTTGACCCCATCCTCATATTTTAGTGAGGTTTCTTTCATCCTTAAAGGAATCAAGAATGAGAATTTAGAGATAAAAGGAGGGTGGTTTTTGTTTTTTTTTTTTTTGGACCCAGTGCTTGGTTCTCCTAGACCTTGGTGGAATTGTGAACTAATTTGTTTGAGGACAGGGAGCAGGGACTGTTTTTCACTAGTTGTGGCTAGACCCCAAACCAGGAAGACCAGGGTTCAGGTCCCACCTTGGACACATATTTGGCTGTGCAACCCTAGGTAAATCACTTAACCTTTGAGTGCCCTAGGTAACTAGGTGGCTAGGTAACTCGATTGACGGTTACAAAGAGGACATAGACTTCCATTGATAAAAGGAATTTCTTTATCTGGGGAACTTTATCCCTGTAGCAATGAAATCATAGTTCCTGCCCCTATCCTTAACCCTAGTGCTTATCACTCTGATTTCCACATGGTAGGTAGGAGCTTAATAAATGTGTGTTGATTTCTTGATAGAAAGCCAAATTACAGCACATAGAATAAATAAAAGCACTGGGCACAGGAGAGTGGTGCAGAAATGGTACCACACACAAATATCACCTACTTTGAAATTTTGTCTGAAGTGTTTCTTGCCTGAGCTACAATTTCCTCACTGGTGATATGGGGGAACTAGATAAGATGATCTCTAAGGTCCCTTCTAGCTCTAAAATTCCAAGATTCTCTGTTTTGTCTCTAGTATTCTAGATTACTGACTCTTACCAATGACAAGGAAGGTACTTGAGACAGGAATTCAAGTCTAAAGGCATTGTTTTATTATTAATAAAACAAGTTAGAACTTTCTGAAAGTTGAGGTAGAAACTTTGTTCAGCACCTATGACTTAATGACTGCAGTTCTCAAACTGAGCTTGCTTGGGTAGTTAAATTTTCTTAAAAAAAAAAAAACAAGTATTTTACTGCTTTACTCTGATGCATTACCTGGCTCAATCCAGTGCATTATTGGTTGCTATCCCAACATCTAGATAGCTGGGACAGATAAATTTAGGTGCCATTAGTTTATAGATTCTAAATGGCAGTTTTAGAGAATCAGTTTTATCAGATTTTTTTGGTTTGTTTTTTCATTTTGAGGAGTACAACATTAAAGCTTTAGTATTTTCCTTCACTTTCACTTGACTAAGATACTATTACCCTTGTCTGACATTTTGGAATTGGTGGAGAGATCATTATGGTTCTTGCTAAGCAAACAGAGATGTTGTTTTCCTTCCCATGTGTATAAATTGTTTGGCCTCTAGAGAGTGACAGTAGGCACATTTTAGTTTATTGAAAAAAATGGAAATATCTTGTGCTTTATAGCACCTTTCATCTAGGAGGCTTTTGTGTGCCTTTACAAACATCAATGGGGCATCCTAACACCTTGTGTGGTAGTTACTAGTATTACTTTAACTGTAATAGTAATGAGGTAGTTAAGTGGCTTGTCCAGAAGAAGTGGGAATGAAAAAAAGAGATAAAGGGGGAGGGAAAGGGGGAAAGGAACAGGGGAAAAAAAGGAAGGGAGAGGGAGGGAGAAGTGAGAAATAGAGACAGAGAGAAAGACAGAAAGATAGGGAGACAAAAACAGAGACGGAAAGACAGAGAGAGAAGAGAGAGCTTGGAATCCCTTTCCAAGGGCAGCCCAAACAGCTATGATCACTGCAGAGTTATTGATGATGAAGTTCAGAAATGAGCCTTCCACCCCTATAGCTGCCCTTCTGCATTAACAATTCTTACTCCTTTGCGAGGATAGAGTTGAAAGGAGGGAGAAGGATTAGGAAGCAGGTTTTGGAAATTTAATAGGATGTGGGGAGGAAGAAATTTTTGCATAATTAGGAAGATGGTTGTCAATTCTAATACTTCCACTTGGTATCATTTCAAGGGCTGCCGTCTCAGTGGGGGGCAGTGTGGATCAGTAGGAAGAAGGTAACCGGAAATTAGATGCCAGATCTGATGTTTTGACTTTTGGTGAGAATCCTTATCTCTCCTCCTTCAGTCTCAGTAAAAATATTTGAAAGAATATTGGTAAGGAACAGTTTGAGGACCTTAGAGGAAGAAAAGGGATCTTTGGAGCACTGGGGCTGGGAAAGGATAAATTAATTATGGTCAATAAAGCTCCTAAGTTGTCTTGTATTTTAAGCTTGAAATTTAGATTCCTGACTTTTCACTAACTTTGTAAATTATGGCACTGTTTCCAGCTTGACTGATACCTTCTGTTTATCCCAAAGCATGGCAGCAAGAATTTTAAGTCTACTCAACCCACCCTCTCCATCTTGTAATTATTATGCTGGTTAGTTAGTGCTGAAATTTCAGGTTGTTTTCCAAGTTGGTGATGTGTGGGCTGTCAGGGCAATCACACATTAGCTCCAATAAGTTACTCAACCCTGAATCTACTTCTCCTCCTCAGAAACAGTTGAATTTTGATCTCTTAGAAATTCTTGTAGTTCACTGAATGATACTCAGTTCCTGGAACTTTTTCCTACTTGTAAATAGTAAATCCCATAGGCACATTTGTTTAGTTTAGCTTTTAATTAGCTAGCTATTCTTAGAGTTGCTTTCTTGGATTGTTTTAGATTTTACAAGCCATACGGCTATCCTTTCATTCCAGGCTGTTATTTCTGGAAGTTTTCTGCACACTTAAGTGTTGTAAAAATAAAATTGTGTATAAGACTTCCAGTGAAACAGACCACTTTCTTAGATACTGAGTGCACATGCTAATATATCATAGACATTTTACGGTTTTTCCAATAGGGAAAAAAAATCCTTCTTATGCTTTCGGATGTTTAATATATATATATATTTTATAGCTCTTTTAGCAGCTTTGTTTAAGGATTGGATTTTAAACAAATTAACCTGTTTGTGATCATTGATAGCATATGTAGCTGAAAATCTTAGTGACAGCGTTAGAAGGTTGTTCATTTCAGATGGCCTCTGGGAACTTTCTGTTTAGATGCTGAACACAGTTGTGCACAGATTATGGAGCAAAGCAAATAGGATGAGATGCTAAAATCCTTTCTCTGGCAGCTTCCCAATCAAGCTTTGCAGATATTTTTCAGTGATGTTAAAAAGCATCATCAAGAAAGGGGTGAAATATAATATGCCAAAAATAAAATATGGTAAAATCATGTTGTTGAAGTAAATATGCAAAAAAAATCATCTTTTAAATGATGCTTTCAGTTTATTAGTTATATCTCATAAGTCCCACTTTAAAAGAAAAAATTAGATTAGTATTGAGTAGATTTAGCTGTCATCTCATGTGCAAGTAATTTCCATTAAAGAAGAATGCATTCCACCCCCTTCCCAAATGAATGTGATTTATTGTAACTTAAAGTCTGTTTTAATTCATTTTGGTGATGGTGTGTCCATCATTAGATCTGCTGTAATAGTCTGCTAGAAAATACTAGAAAATTCTCACAAGCTGAACTACTCACTTGCAGGGATTTTTGTTAATGCAATATTTTGAAAGGTTATATGGCTGCATCTAGTGGTAACTGAGGTAAACTGCAGTACCATATATTATATCATAGATGATATCTATTAAATTCACATTTACATTTAAATTGATCCAGGATATTAATACATTTTGTGAATTTTTCTGACAGATTATTGAATCTTCATCAATTTATAAATAAAATTCAGCATGATGTTTTATCATATGAAAATAAACAATTTCATATAACTCATAAAAATGAAGTTAGGAAGATAGAAAAGAATACAGACTGGTTTAACTACAAGCCATGAAGAAAATGTATCATCAAATAAATCTGAATTATTTCAAAGTTTGTTTTCTGAAAGATCAAAGTTGTATTTTTATTTCTGAATGCTGTGATTAAATTTTACCAAACTGGATTACTCACTTTAACAGTTTTTGCAGTGAAAGATACACATCCAGCTAAAGTATATGTTCACCCTACTTAAAAAATTCTTTTTCAAGTAAAATGGAAAACCCTACTCATTTGGTTTTGGTTAATAATTTCCTCATTCATTAAGTTATTAACTTGACTCTTATTTCTGAATACCTGTAGCATTTAGTATGAAAAGGAACATAAAGCTTAAATCTAAAAATAGAGATTACATGTGCACAAATAAATATACAAGGTCAAATGCGTAAGTGTATAAGAAAGGTACAAATGTACTGCTTTGAAAGTTCATGGGAAGCGGCATTTGAATTGAGCCACCAAAAAAAAAAATACAGAAAAAACCAGAACAAATCCCCAAATTCCTTTCTAAATGAGTCACTTAAATTCGGGAATAACAATACAAAAAATGGTGGTATCTCTCATTAGCAAGACGGCACCATAAAGCATAGTGATGGAACACAGAAAGTAACAAGAACCCTCTTTTAATGTTAATCAACAATTTAGTCAATCAGCAAGCATTTATTAAACACCTACTATGTTCCAGGCACAAATCAGGACCATTAGATATTTGATGTAAATATCCAGGGATATGCCACAGCTTTTGGATGCTAAGAAACAACCAAGGCATGTCATCAAGCATTTATTAAGAGCATACTAGTGACCGGCACTGCTTAGCACTGGGAATACAAACCCCACATGAAAACAGTCTCTGCCCTTAATGAGCTTACATTCTAATGCAGGAAATGACATAGAAATAGCTATGTGTTTAAAAAACATAAAAAAATAGAGCAAATTGGAGGTAACCACAGAAGGCAGGCACTAGGAGAGCAGGAGGAGGACTGGGGAGGGCCTTTTGTAAAAGATAGCATTTGAGCTGAGTGAAGGTCAGGCAGATTTTTGCTTCCTGTATTTCTACTCTTTAGCTTTTTTCCTCCTCATCACCTGGCATGCATTTCTATAACTGCCCAAATTAAGATAAAGAGGATGAAATTGTGTTGTGGGACTAAAGATTTCCAGCAAGGTCATTTAGGTGTGGTCTTGGTCATTTTGCAGACTCCTGCCTACAGGGAGCTACCCTACATGCTTTCATTATGTTCTTTCCTTCAGGGAAAGTGACTTGTCAGGCAACTTCAGAGGAGGCAGAGAGCTGCCACAGAGAGAGTTTCCAAGATGATGAACCCAGACCATCGGATAATGAAGAAATGAACAAGGTATCCCGATTAATTTTTCATTTTGTGGGTTCCTCTGAAGGACGGGGGATTAAAAATCTTGTCCTTGTTTAGCAAAGCAATGGTCAAATTCTGAAAGGCTGATTCATAAAACAACTGTGGGCTTTACCATGGCAGCAGGCCATTGAGTTAGACCCCTAATCTCTGTTGTATTGGGAGGCAGTATGAAGAAGGACCATTATAATTAGGCCTTCTCATGGTAATCTTTTCTAAGCTAGACAAGCTATAACTAAGCTGAAACAAAACAAAGCCCACATAGAATGCCCAAGCTTTGCATTATAAAGAAAATATTGAAAATATGAATTAACAATTCTACAGGGAAACAGAGTCTTTTAAGTAGAACAAAAGCAAGACAAATTTGGCTTTGTCTTATCCTTTTTCCCTCCCTTTAAGTAGCACATTGATGGAAAATCAAGGGTTTATCCCTCCTTCTCCTTCTCATGGCTATGTTACTGGAAGTCTCTAAGCTGTTTGTTACTTTCCAGACTCTTTTTTGTTTTCCAATAACACATTTCCATGTGTGTTCTGACAGCAAAGCTAATTACTTTCCCATGAATGATGATCATGATGAAATCAGACACTTGGCATGGCATCACACTTTTAAAATTATTGTTGTTTTTGCCACCCCCAGATTATTTGTGAATTTGAAATTGTACATGTGTATGGAGCATTTTGTCCACTTTCCAAAAGTAGCTTTTTTTTTGGACCAGAAGACCCAACATGAAAGGTATACCATATGAACCAGTATAGACCTGAATTATTTTAGAAAAAAAGTTGCAAAGTGTTTGACATTAACTCAACCAATCTGCTAAAATGAGAACTTCCATTTTCTTTTATATCCAATTAAAGTAAAGTTCCATTTAAAACCACATTGGACAAGATTATTGTAGTTTAATTCCTTTGGGTAATCATAAGGCTTTTAACCATTACCTTCAGTAATTTCCTATAGCCTCCCATTAAAAGGAAGTGGGTGCTTCCAGAATAATGGTACATGGTATCCAGGAAGATAGGTCCTCAAGATTTTGGGCTCAACATTGTAGTAATCAACATTGTAGTAAAAATCGTAAACTCCTTGAGTTGTAAGGAACCATCTAGTCCAATCCCCACCTGAAATATGAAAAAAATATGAATATGCTCTACTATAACAACATTCCTGCCAAATAGTTAAGTTACCCAGCTTTTGAATACTTCCAGTGAGAAGAAATTTGCTTATCTCCTCAGATAGGACAGTTTTAATTTTTAGGAGTTTCTTCCTCATGCTGAACTAACTGCACTTTCACTCATTGGTTCTACGTGTACCCTCTGAGACCAAGCCAGAAACCAAACCCAGAAAAATCCTTTAAATTTTCTTCCACATGATCACACTTGAAATTCTTAAAAACAGCTATCATAAAGAAGACTGCCAATATTTTTTTCCCCAGTTATTCCATGGTCCTGCATTTTTTAAATAAGAGACTGTAAGTAAGAGACCTTCTGACTTTTATGAGTACTTTATCCAAGAAGGGGATGCCTCCAGATACCTTAGCAGTGTCTCAGTACAGAATTCTGTGCTGGCTTCTGGTAGAGCTACGTTGCACTAATTAATTAGAATTCTTTGTTGTCTCCTTTCTGGCTTCAGGATAGTCGTAGTAGAGAAACAACAGAAAAAATAAAGGAGAATAAAGATTACATAATGATAGAAGATGAATTCACTCCTCAGCCTCCTAGTAAAGAAAGCTCGAATCAAGACGTTCAGTGGAATGCCAAGAGGAGATCAGAGAAAGCAGATATAGTTGAAAATAAGCCTGCTAAACAAGTCAGGCCCAGTTTCTGACTTCCTTATTCTTGATGCAAAGAACCCTGAACTGGAAGTTGGAGACCTGGATTCCAGTGCTGGCATTGTCACTAGGTAACAATGTGACTATAAATGAGCTGCTTAATTTTTCTGTCTTAATTTTCTTACTTATAAAATCTGCCTTACCTACCTCACAGAACTGTTACAAGGATCAAATGAATAATACATGTGAAAGTGATTTAAAAATGATAAAGCAATTGTACCAATGCAAGAAATAATACAGAAAGGTTATTGTTCCATTTATCAAGATGCCGTTACCATTTTCCTTAGACTTTTAGGTTTCTTCATCTTAAGATGTTTTGTGGTGAGAGAGCATTCCGAATATCTGCAGTGCTTAAAATGAACTATGTTTTTATTTTTTCCTGTGGGGGAAAATATAGAAAAGAGTAGAGCCCTCTTCTCTCCACTGCTGCAGAGCTAGTTTGAAGAATTGCATAGAATGTCTAGAAAGAAGTAATTGAGGTTTTGTAAATATTGCTGTAAGATATTTCTATGGAAACAACATTTCTTATCCTGTAGAGCAAGATGCTATACCATGGAGCCAGAATCAAATGGCAGTGTAACCTCTTTTGCAAGATAGATAATTGATTTAAGTTTTTCTACATCTGGCCTTTGTGGAAAGGAAAAAAAAAACAAGCAAAAGATCTACCTTCTCCAGCCTGTATTTAAGTTTTATCCTTCTTTCTAGGGTAGATTGTAGGTGGAACAGAGTTCTGTGCTCTTGGTGCCTTTTTGTATATTGCTCGCATTAAAGAAATTTTTTTTTATGCTGGTGATATTTATAAGAAATGTTATAAAATTAGTCAGACCTTAAGGGGACAGGAGTTCTTCCTGAGAGCCAAGGTTGTATTGATTACTTTTTGAAAGTGAAAAGGCTTTTCCCAGTCCTCATGGCAAGCAGGAGATGCTCACATATCAAATTCACCACTAAAAGCTGCACGTCTCTGAATGTCAGTTTACTCATTTGTACAATGAAGGGCTTTGCCTAGATCAATGTTGCCCAAATTTATCTGCCCCTAAAATGATTTGGGTGATTGACATATACTGATCAATTGTCTTCAGGGCTCTAAGGTCATAGGAATTCTGGAGTAAAATTAAATCTATGTTCCTTTCCTCCAAAAATGCCACATGTGAATACATATTTTTATATGTGATTTAATGTGTAATATTTTAGAGGGAGAATACCACCATCAGTGACCAGAACCCTTATGAAGACTGTAAATCACCAGAGTTCCATGGAACATAGTTTTGGGGGACATGCTAAAAGTAGGTGGTCTTTGGATTTTCCATTATGGTGCAGTGGGAAAAGTGCTAGATTTGGAGTCAGAAAACATGAATTCAGATCCTGGCACTTTATAATGTTGGGCAACTCATTTCAATTCTCTAGAACTTAATTTCCTCCTTTATGTAAGTAGTTTTGTTTGAACATCACAATATCCTGTGAGGCCAGAAAGACGTGTTATTATTTTGCAGCTGAAGAAACTGAAACTTATATTTAATGACTTTCCCAAGCTCACAAAGGGAGCGTCAGACAGAAACAGAATTGGCACCGAAATTTCACTTGACTCCAAACCTATTGCTCTCTCTACCATACTGTGTACCAGGATTGCTAGATTGCTAGGATTGCCCCTACCTTGCTGTCTCTGGAACTCTTAATGATCAGAGGGTCAATATGCCAAGAGAATATTCTGCTGCTGGTGGAACCTGTAGACAGATATTGTTTATATTCCTTCATCTCTGTTCTCCCTTGAATGGAAGGAAGAATACATTTGAATAATAATATTATAGAATTCAGGAAGAACACATCTTAAAGTCCTTCACAAGAAATTGCAAGCCATCAAGTGCACTTAAATTTGTGGATGTAGATGTCCTATAAATGTCATGGAAGACATGGATTCTAATGTGAAAGGAAAATTGTTTATTGTATGTACTTTACCACTTGAAAAACTAACGTGTAGCGCTTTGTATTTACAAGAAAATGCACTGGTGGTACGTCTTAGGGGATTGATGATGTTGTGTTGCAATAAAAGGTGCCTTCCCAAAGGAAAAGCAGTTGATGTGTTGGCAGCATTTATTTGGGGCTAGGGAAATCAATGTCATTCAGATTTACATGAAAATATTCCAGAGTCAAGCAAAACCTCTCCTTGATCACCATTGTATTCAATTACATGCCATGCTAGCAGAGTGATTGTGTTGCTAGCAACTGCGCAGTTCAGTATTAAGAGTGAGTCCATGGAGGGGCAGCTAGGTGGCACAGTGGATAGAGCACCAGAAGTCAGGAGGACCTGAGTTCAAATGTGGCCTCAGACCAAACACTTGACACTTACCAACTGTGTGACCCTGGGCAACTCACTTAACCCCAATTGCCTAAAAATAAAAAAGAAAAATACAAAAAAAAAGTGAGTCCATAGATCAATAAACATTTAAGTGCCTACTACATGCCAGTCACTGTACTAAGTGCTGGGGATACAAAAAATGGCAAAAGACAGTCCGTGCCCTCAAAGAACTCACAATCTAATGGGGGAGGCAACATACAAACAAAAATGTGCCCATTCACTATATATACATGATGAAAAGGAAATAATCAATAGTGTGAAGACACTAGAATTAAGAGCGATTGAGGAAACTATTGCTTAAAAATCATGGATAATACTTTGACATTATGGTTCTTGAAGACAGAAACAATAAATTCACTCCATATATGTTACAGGGTTTGCTTAGCACAGTACCATGCACACACTCATAAATCTTAATTGATTGGGTTGAGGACATTTATATGGAATTCTATAGTTCAATAAAAAGTAAGGTTGTATTTATGAAATTAAAAAAAGGGGGATTGGGGCAGCTAGGTAGGGCAGTAGATAGAACACCGGCCCTTGAGTCAGGAGGATCTGAGTTCAAATCTGGCCTCAGACCAAACACCTGACACTTATTAGTTGTGTGACCCTGGGCAAGTCACTTAACCCCAATTACAAAAAAAGGTGGGGGGGAATCTTGGGGAGAATTTGGCTACGGCTGATGAAATCTGATGTTGTGGTCTGCCATTATGGTTCCTGGGCTCATAGGAATGTAGTTTTAGACCTGGAAAGGAACCTGAGAGATTACCTAGTCCATCCCCTTCAGTTTATATATAAGGGAACTGAGGCCCAAAGAAATGATTTGTCTAAAGTCACAACCAGACCAGTTGAGGCATATGTCATCCTGAGTATAAAATCAGAGTCTGTGACTCTCCAGCTACCCAAGGGTCAGTCAGTAGCAGGACAAAAGCAATCCTGACAGTAGAAAAGGTTTTTAAAAAGAATTCTCATAGTGAAAGGTTGTAATTCTCTGTCAAGGTGGCACAGAAGGCCTGTTCCCAAGGGATCCCCATCTTTATCTCTGCTTTACCTCTGCTTTGCAGTGGCCAGTGAACTGGCCACAAAAGGGTTGGGCTGTAGGGGGAGGAAATGCCTGGTTTGCAGATTAATTCTAGAACTGTTGAGTTCTCCATCACAGAATCACCAGCACCACTCATATCCTTTATGTTAGAATATGTGGATGGGAGTCAACATTAAACAATAAAAATACATTGAACTTGGAGGAAGGGTTTGAATCCCAGCTCTGCCAGACACGACCTGTGTGATCAATATCTAAGTTTAGTCTCTCTTTGGGTACCCTTTCAGTCTAGTACTCTGGCCTGTTTGTGAATGATTTTGATTCTCTTCCCTTAAGCTGTTCAAGATAAGCAAAATAAGGTTCCAAAATATTAACTGTTGAAGACAGCTTCAAAGAATCTCTATTCAGTTAAATATTTTTAAAAGGTTCCATCTTCTGAGGGTAGCAGTATGAAGTTGGTGCATCTGCATCTGGTTCCGCCTTCTGGTGGAAAGAAAATCAACTTTATCCTCAAAGTCATAATCTCATATATCTGAATAACTGGGTAGCCTGACTTTAAAACACGTCTCTCTCCATCTTCAGTGCTGAATTCTTGCCGTATGATTAGGAAGGAAATTGTTTAGGTCCCAATTAGTATGAATAATGAATCCCTTGAAGTGGTCACATGGATTCAGTTTGTAGTATTCAAAGTTATAATTATATAGAATATGGCAATAGGTTCTAGCCCAATGGAAAAATACAGTGAGAATTCAAATAACGTGACCACTTCTGGGGATTCATTATCACGCTGATTGTATTGATTTAGTCATTTGCCTGTCCATTTGGACAATAGATATCATTCATCCACCATGTTTTTCCAATGTGTATTGTTAAGCTCGTCTCTAGAAAAATTGTGGGTTTCATCGAAGAAGCATAGTGTTCTGAGACGATGCAATTGACACAACATCAGCTATTAAAAGGAACATTTGGAGAATCAACAGGGGGCCCTTCTGTTTGGGCTCTGCACAGAATATCCTCTATGATAGTGATGAACACCTTGGGTGAGCATATGTCTCTCTGTTTTATACCTTACTTGATATTGCGAGTTAGTAGGTAATTGAACAAAACTATTTCCATAGTCACATCTGTCATAGAGTCTAATAATATTTTGATATATTTATGGGAGATTGAAAAGAGATTTTAAAAGTATATTTTTTCATTGAGTCAAATGCTTTTGTAAAAAAAAAAAATCAAAAATAGATAATACAAGATCCTATATTCACTATACCTCTCAGTCACACATGAAACTGTAAAGATGTGGTCTATTGTAGAAAATCATTGGTAAAATTCTTCCTGTTCCATCCTCTTGTTTTCATCAAGGCTAACCTCAGTGCATAAATGTACTTTAATTCTTGTCAAGATTTTAGAGATAAGAGAGAAATGTATGTTGCTGATGTCTTTATGTCTTCTTCCTGATCACTTTGGTGGAGGGGTTGGTGATGGTATAATCACTCTTTTCCATATCTGAGCAATCATTTCCTGATATATATTACATATAATATAATATAATATATATATAACATATATAAAATCATATGTAACATATATAACTATATCTGCTACACACATGTGCCCGTGTCCCAAAAATCCCAGAGATTTGTAGATCACTTTGTGATCTTTTCTATATCTGAGGAATCATTTCCTGATATACGTTGTATATAATATAGGTAACATACATAAAAGCATATGTAACATATGTAACTGTATATGCTACATACATGTGCCCATGTCCACAAAATCCCTGAGATTTGTAGTTCTTTCCAGTTTGGGGAAAGAGAAAACTAACCTTGGTTCTTGAGAGAGGAGCAGAGGTTGGGCTTTTCCCCCTCACGTGGAGCAGCTGGGAGTTTTGAAGACTTTCTAGGAGAGAAGAAGAGAGAGGTGATGATTGTCAGTGAAACCTAGGCAGCAGCTGGTGTCTGCCACATCTGCATTCCCCTTCTTTAAGACTGTAAGAGATGACTTCTGTCTGAATGGACAAGTATGTGTGTAACTCTGTGTGTTTTATGCAGGGTGCTCACCTCAGTAGCAGGGGTGTGGAAGGAAGCCAGCAGAGAGAGGTATGAAGGGATGGGCCCTTCCCTGCCCCAGCCTTATTTCTGTTTATATTTTTCTCTGATTTATTCTGTTAAAAATACATTTATTTGCCAGAGTTAATATTATTTCTTCTAAGTACCTGTGGTTGATATACAACTGTATATACACAGAATGTCTGTGTCCCAATGTGGATGGTTATCTCTTTATTTGTGGCATGAAGGTGCATTGGGATCCATAAAAAGAGAGAGGGATCTTTATTAGATCCAGACTGGGAGCTCAACCCCCAGACCATGTTGTGCTCTCTAACTTGGGACATAAGTACAAGCTATTTTATAACTGTCCTTTTAAGTGCAGAATTACTATGAATGTAGGCCATATTTTATAAATTTACCTAATAGATGTGAGCCAAGTTACATACACACACATATAAATTTTACTATATATTTACATATATACACACATACCATATGTAAGTGCATATGTGTATGTGTGCATATGTGTATGCACGTGCATATGGTATGTCTGTACATATGTAAATATATAGTAAAATTTATAGATATGTATATATAAATGTAAATATAAAATCAACCACTCCTCAGGGCCTTTAAAATACATCTTTGGACATGGCCGATATGGAAATTTGCTTTGCTTGACTATGCGTATTTGTTATAAAGACCTTCTTTTTCTTTCTTCCTTTCTTCTTTTCTGTCTTTCTTTCGTTCAGTGCAGGAGTGTAGAGTGAGATGGAGAAAAAAGAAATGCTTGTTAGTAAAATTAAATTTTAAAAACTGTGTCTTCCAGCAAGAATCTCCTCGGATGGTCTTCTAGATCTCCTATTCTTTATTATCATTATCACTTCCTCACATAGAAATAATGTAATAATATATGTGTTGTTCACTGAGGCAATGTATGTGCTCTGATCTTACTTCCCGTGCTCTGCGCCAATTCTTTTACATCTTTCTGCATTTCTTCATGTTCTTCATACCTGTCATTTTTATGGCACAATACAGTTCCATTACATCAATAAACCTCACAGAAGACAGTATGGTGTAGTGATAAGAACTCTGCAATCAGTAGGGCTGGGTTCAAATCCAAAGTTATTTAATTTTTCTGGGTCTCAGTTTCCTCAATTGTAAAATGAGGGGTGTTGGACCAGAGGGTCTCTGAAATTCCTTCCGACACTAGATTTATGATCCATTAACCATTGCCCTGTTTGTGGGATGTGCATAGATTGTTCCTGGCTTTTTGGTCTTACTAATACTGCTGTCATAAATGATTTCTGTATCATCAATAGATCAGTAGTTCTTTGAGGGCAGGGAATATCTTCACTTTTGCGTCTGTGTCTCCAGATATCAGCACAGTGCTTGGCACGTAGTAAGTGTGTACTAAATGATTTTTTATGCATTCATTCATTCAGCCTGATTGCCATTTTGATATCTCTTAAGATGTTAAAAGTACTAGAGAGCTGCCTCTAGTACTTTGGGTAGGTCCTTTATGTAGATTTTTCAGAAAGACATCTGTGAAAATTACACAGAATGGTACAGTGCTGAGCTACATTACAGATTTGTCAAAGGATACTTTTCTTTTTTTGCA